GTTTCTCTGTGGATGTGGAAGGATCTATGCTTTAGTCTGAACTCAGAGATGGATATATTTTGCACTATTCTAGAGCATAGATTGGCAAACTTCTTCTGTGGAAGGCCAGATAATACATTTTTTTAGCTTTGCATACATTTTTTACCACCTCCGATGCAACTTACACATGTTTGACATTGCAGCTCAAAAGACAATGCATAAATGATTGGGTGCCTGTGTTCCAGTAAATATTTATAGACACTGAAATTTAAATTTCACATAATTTTCACATGTCATGAAATAATATTCTTCTTTTGATTTCTTCCATTTAAAAAGGTAGCTCTTAGCTCATAGGTCATGTAAAAATAGGTGCTCACAAGCCAAGAACTGACCCCTGTCCAAGAGCCGGAAGTGGCAACAGGACTCAAGTTGATTCTGAAAAAGTACATCTTAGCTCCACTTCTAATAAGTGTAAACTGCACTGCTTCCCTCAAACATAAGTCCTCCCCATTCCCTTCATGGGTATCAGGGACTCATGTGATTCTGAAAAAGTACATCTTAGCTTCTAATAAGTGTAAACTGCACTGCTTCCCTGAAACATAAGTCCTCCCCATTCCCTTCATGGGTATCAGACAGAACCTCCAGATAACACACATTCTTTAAAGTTTCATTTATCCTCTTAATCATTCATTCAGCAAGTATTTAAACGCCTATAAGGTATAAGCCTCCAGGGGACACAGTGTTGAACAAGATAGTACCCCATACCTCTGGAGCTCACCTTGAAGCTGGGGAAACAGATGTCAATAAATCATTAAGATACAACATGGAAAAGCTTGATAATAATACCCCGTGTTCCAAGTACAATGGTGGCATAGCAAAGAGAAGAAGGAATTAGTTCTGAAAGGGCGAGGTGAGCAGGGTGAAAGTTGTTGACATGTAAGCACAAACAAGTCAGTGTTGGGGCTAGGCTTGATAGCAGAGGAGCGAAGGGAGGACAACCTCTGCAGAGGGACTCATCTGTGCAAAGTCAAGATGGTATAAGTGAGTCTTGGATTTGGTGAGTTGCCACACGCACACACACACACACACACACACACACACACACACACACACACACCCTACTTGTAGCTAGAATGTGTGGGATGTGGAGTGAGGAGATTATGGGAGATGAGGCCAGAAAGAGAGGGTGAGCTCAGATATAGTCTACGCCAAAGTGTGCATATTTTGTTTTTTAAGGCATTGAGGTGCTCCTAGGGGTTTTTAAACATAGTAGTAATGTGATCGGCTCTGTATTCTAGAAATTAAACAAGTAGCAATGTGGGAGCAGGAAGAGATCTCAGGCAGGGACACTATAAAGAATGACTGGACTAGGCCAGACAAGAGATATGGAGGACTGATCTAAAGTACTGACTATTGTTCTGATCTAAACCGGGGGAAGGAGAGGTGGGAGTGTCTGTGACGGTGTTCGCTCTCTGCACAGTGTCTTTGTCCTCTGTATGAAGGGCTGAACTAGACTCCCAAGGGCTGAACTAGACTTCCTGTCCTCATATGCTCTGTTTGCCCTTCACTCTTAGATGGCAGCCACATGGTTGTGGGCAAAAGAATGAATCTCTTCACTCTAACATCATCTTGACTTTTTGCAGTATCCATGCTAGTGCCCAGTGGCAGCTGGAAAATTGTTGGATGACATTCGATGCCGTTTCCTTTGCTCCTGCCTGCTTGAGTGATTGTCTGAGGAGATAGAGCCCTTGGCAGACAAACAGGCAGGTGGCAAGGTTGACAGGCTAAGAGAGTGCTGGTGAGCACAGGGTAGGGTTGAAGCCCATTTTAGCCCATGGGAGTACTAGAACAACTCTACAAATCAATCAGCAGCATTTATATGGCACAGTTTAAAAGGTATTTTTACATCCCAAATCTCAGGTAATAGATGGGGAGAAGCTTGTTTCACTGTTCATTGAAAGAATTTGTGTTTCCCCAAAAAGTTTTGAAGGAAAAATTCTGGATGACATTAATAATGTAATTACTACCTGCATTATATAAACTGCATTAAAACTAGAGCTCAATATTTTAACTAATAGCCTGCTGTTCTTGAGTGTTTAAACAAAAGGTAAAAACAGAGAAACAGATCATATCATTCCCTGCTCTAAATGCATCAGTGACATTCAAGAGAAAACCCCAACTGCTACCACCTACCTCTCTGAGCTTGTCCTCTTCACCCCTTCCCTGGGTGCCCCCTCATGGGGTGTATGGACTACTCACTGCTCTTAAACATACCAAGCTCATTATTCCTCAAGCCCTATCCACTGGCCACTTCCTTTATCTAGAATGTTCTTTCCCAAATATTTAAGAGTATCTCTCATGTTACTCAGACTTCTGCTTCAACATCACCTCCTTAGAGGGTCTTACCTGACCACTCTTTCTAAAATAAGACTGCCCCCCTCACCCCCATCCTGGCCTGTTTTCTTCTAGCAATTTTCCCTGCTTAATTTTTCTTTATAGCATTTATCATTCCAAATTTATACTATATATTCATTTAATTATTGTACCTCACTCCCACTAGACTGTAAGCTCCATGAGGGTAAGACTTTGCCTGGGCTGCTGTTGTATCCTTCCCACCCAGAACAGTACCTGACACATGGTAGGTGCTCAATTGATATTTCTTAAATTAGAAAGCTGCCTTGTGAATGGATGGCACACAAATGAAGGGATTCCTCCCCCTTTCCCTGAATTCCTACCACACTTTTAATATCGTTCACAGTCTAATAGTGACAATAGTTATAATTAATCAAATAATTAATTATTAATATTATTTACTTGATAGTTAACATTAATAGTATATAAAATAGTAAAAAGTAATATATAATAAATTTAACATTAAATAATAATAACCACTTATTAAGGTCTTGTTATATGCCATGTACTGTTACTATCTATCTACATTATCTCAAATAATCTTTATTATAATCCTAGCAGGTAGACATTATTAGTTTTTCTATTTTATACTTCACGACACCAAAATTAGGAAGTTAAGAAATTTGTTGAGATTCTAACACAGGTTTAACTGCCTTGAACATCCTTGTGCTTTTCTTTATAAAACTAACAATACAATGACCCAAACTACCTCGAAATGAACTTCAGGTGGATTTTAACTGTCTTACTATACAGGACAGAAAGTGGGACAGCCACTAGATGTGAATTAAGCTTTCTAGTAGAAAATGAAATGACAAAAAGCCCTAGCTTCTGTATCGGGAAACTGTTTTGAAAGCATTAAAATGGGGTGAGATAGTGTTCACTACTCAAAGGTACTCATCAAACAAAACAGAAGGAGGATTCAGCTTTCCTGCTTAGGAAGCCAAAGGAATGTTATCTAGATCTCCTGGAGGCCACAAGACTCATCTTACAGATGGGAAGGCCTTTGACTAACTCAGGCAGACACCAAAAACAATTTCCTGCAAACTAACGACTCTCAAATAAGTCTGTGGGACTGTTAGGAATATCTTTGCAGTGCAGTATTTTTCATGCTTAGCTTGAGTTCAGAAAGATCTTGCAGAATCACTCAGGCTCATTTTCACTCTAAGGCTAAATGAGGAATAGCAAGGTCTAGCAAATGCCCAAACCGGTGTGTCAACCTCATTATGACTGCCTGGGGGTCATGTCCAGGGAATAGGTGCCACATTAAATTGCGAAGTAAACTGTGAGCCCTGGATCTGGAAACTACTTTTGTAAGGCAGCTGTTCTCCTAATCTTTTTGCTTAGATCTTAAAAGTAATTTTAATCCATTGAGAAGGGGAAGGGTGGGGGACAAATCAAACTGATTTTGGTCGAACTTGGTCAGGAAAAAAATAAGAGCTGATTTTTCCATCTAAGTCGTGTAGTCTGGTCGGAGTCCATCCCACTCAGGGACAGCTGGACAGCTATTGTCTGCACTGGCCACTTCTGAATCCTGAGGCCTAGTTAGAGGGAATTTTCCCCTCACCCCTCTATCCTTCAGGAAAGTTGCTAAAAGTAACCATTTCTGTCCTCTCCTGGGTGATGTCTTTCTCTACAGAAATCATGAAGCTGAACCAAATGTCTTGTGCTTCACTGTGGAGAGACGGGTCTTTTTAACCAGTCTCATCAAACAGTAGGCATCTTTTTGTTCCCTGGATAATAAGTGTTGGTGGGTTAATGGGTCACCTTCAGGAGAGAGGTCAGAAGGAAAAACTGCAGTGTTCAAAGCTGGCGCTAGAAATGCCAGCCATCAAAGAACACAGTATTCTGTGGACAGTGATGATATATAGGGTGTGCACTAGCCAGCCCCATCTGAGGGGTCACATCTAACCATTATCCTCAGCAAAGCCAGAGAAGGTCGTTGAATGTGGCTGATACTCAATTCTGAGAGGTCCTAGCGAGAAGCTGGCCAGGGAACCCTGGTGCCTGGCCTAGGGAGTTCCTTTTCACTGAGGGAGAATTATATTCTGGCTCCTTCCAGACTGACGTCGCAAGTACTTTGAACACTGAAAAGAACAAAAAAAGCAAACAGCCACAAAAAAGGAGAGGGAGGGAAGAGAGAAGGAGAGAGAGAGATATCAGCAGGGGTAGTTAGTAAAAAGGGGCCCGGAGACAGAAAACCTTTTGTTCCCCAGAGTTCGTTTCATGTAAAGATTGAGAAGTGAATGGCTTTGAAATGAAATGGGTTTGTGAAGTAGTTGCTAGGTCACAGGAAGCACGACTGTCAGACTGCTTTGTGAATTCTATTTCTTTAAAACGTAGGTTAATCTTTAAAAAAAAAAAATTATCTCCTCTTCCCAGGTTTTTTGGGGGGAGGGTAAAATTGGGAACGGTTCCCCACTTTGTTTTATTTTCCAACCTTTCTGATAATGTAAAATAAATGATCATATTACAAGTTCTTTGTCGGTTTTCAGAAGTTAAGAACTGGGCGGAGCATCGTATTACCTTGGCCTACTAGCCAATGACGGGAGGGTATGCAAATATAGTGAGTGATGATGGTCCCGCCTTAATCAAAACAGTGAGCTCAGAGGCTTTGGAGCATAGCCGTGTCGCAGCTCTGCGCGAAAGGACTGAAAAACCGGCCTTAGCCCCGGACCGTTCTCACTTTCATTTAGCACTACACTCGATGGAGGCGCGGGCACGCCAGTGCTTAATGCAGTCTAACTAGTGTAGGAAAACGACTCAGTTCACCGCTGCCGAGATGAAGTATAAGGTAAGAGAGGGGCTTTTACATAAGGTTTCAGTGTGTGTGTGTGTGTGTGTGTGTGTGTGTGTGTGTGTGTCATCGTGACAGCTCCTGTGCAGGGACGCCTTGTATGCCCGAGAGAATTCTGAGATGGGTTTCAGTCACTGAATTTGGCATACAAACAGGCAGGCAGAGACGAAGTCGCTAAGACCCACTCTGGGAGTTCACAGCACGCTGAGGTCCATCTCTACTGAAAGTTTGGGGGAATTAGTCTTAGAGCCGATCTGTGGCGGCCACTGTAGATCAGAGGGTGTCTAACTTACTTAAAGTGGAGCAAGCATTAGCTCAAGTTTTCGCAGCTCTACCAGGCCTGGCCTCCACTGTCCGGGGGTAGCCGGGGAGCTGTACTAAGAGTGGAATCAGAACTGCTGAGTCTCTCAGACTGGCTTTTAAAGCAGTTTTCAGCCTTCGCTTTAAGCGTTTGGTCCGGGAAGCAGTTTGCCATGTGTACTTTGGGTGGTAGAAATTAAAAGTCTCAGGTGTTATACAGCTGATGATGGAAAATTTTGATATCCTTAAATGACGTTGGTTGTAAGAACAAATGAGTATTTGTCATTTCTTGAAAACGTTTTTGTTGGCGCTTGAATGGACTGAAGTTCTAAAGGCTCAGGCGAATTTATTGTCTTCTGAAGCTTACAGAGTGCCATGACACTTCGGCAGCATTATTTTCCCATCCATTTTGCACCATTTATGTGTTTATTCTTGGCAAAAGGATTACAATTTGCTCAGCATATACCATTTTAAGTCACCCTCATAGAGGAGGCAAGGAGTTTCCAGGGACACTGTACAGAGCAGATTGCAGTGAATAGGGTGTGGATTTTCCTTAAAGGATGACTACTTCTATTCCAGAATAGACACTAGTCTTAGTGCTTTTAAATAAAAGTATTATTATTAAAATGAATTCTGGCAAGGTGGCTATGCTTTTGGATTGATAATTTGTATTACTTCTGTGACCTTCAGATTGTGGTAGCTGGGAGCTACTTCACTTCCTCTCCGAATTATCTAAGCTTCTGGCCCATCTTTATTTATTTATTTATTTATTTATTTATTTCTGTACTTGAGAAATTTCAGCAATGTAAATTTTATTTTTTATGGTGACATTAGTTAATGAAATCCAATAAGTTTCATCTGTACACTTTAACTGGCCCATCCTTTTTTAATGTGATGTTGTAAATACTTGGTTATGGCTATTAGCCACTGGCTAACCTCAGTGATCAATCATTTCTTGGAAAGTTATAAATCTTAATTCAAAGCCCTAAATCTAAATGTTGAAAGCCTTTGTTTATAAGATATGAGTTATAGTTCTCCTTGAAAAGGTTAAAGCTGTCTGAAGACATAGGTATCAGTTATCACTCTACTATCAGCTTTCTGTTATCTGCCTTAATAGGCAAGATCAGAGGAATAGATAATCTTGAAAATTCTTAATATTTGACTTTAAGGTGCAACCAGAAACAAATCCTTCTATCTGGCAGGAAAGTTCTCTTTCTTGAAGTAGTTCACCTGAATTTCCACAGTTTCCTTATTTAGAGCAGTGATAGGACTTATATGTTATTTAGCCTGCATTGAGTCTTTGTCCCTTCTCTCCCTATTGCGGAATGCCTTTAGTTCACAAAAACAGCTTGCAAAAGAAAAAAAAGATAATTTGTTCATAAATTTATTATTGGAAAGTACAAAGGGCTGAAATTAACGTCGAGTGTTGCAATCTAGAAAGTGACAAAAGTGACAGTCTAAAGTCACTTTTATTCAGTGACCTCATCATGTTTAGTTTTATTCTTATGGAAAGAAAACATCATGGCAACAGATTATATAAATTTCACCTGGCCCTCACAAAGAAAACTTGCCTCTCTACCGAGTCTTACCAGTGTTGAACACCCTACCAATTGAGGTAAATACATGATTTTATTAGCTCGTGGATTCCTTCACCAGCAAAGGTCCTGAATTCTCTAACTGACCAAATGACAGATTGACACCTTGTGTTGACTACAAAATGAACCAATAGCCGAAGCAATCTACTTCCCCTTTCTTATAAAGCCTATTTTCTCTCTTGTTAATAATAGATAACTTTATTTAAGGAGAAGATTTTGTAATTTTAAGTAGAGAAGATGACACAAAGGTAAAGAAGTGATCAATAACATTTCTTAAGACTTACCATGACAATACAGGATTGTCATATTTAATTCTCCCAATAACTCTCTGAGGTTTGTATGAGTATACTCGTTTTCAAATATGGACATTATGGCACAGAGAGGCTAAGTAATTTATCCAAAGCCACACAGCTAAAAAGTGGTGGAGTTGGGATTTGAATCAAGATGATCTGGTTGTAGAACTTGTGACTTTAAATTATTATTAAAGAAAAAGAAAGAACCATCTTTGACCTCCCTAAAATGTGCTATATAAATGGTGTTTTCTTCTCCCAGGAAATTTAAGACTCTATATCATCCCAAGTATTCTTGCAGAATAGAGTCCTTTTTTTAGGCAATAACTCAAAGCAAAGCGAAATGCATGTTTCGCCATTATTTGTTTAATTTGAGTCACTTAGGTAGGAAAGCCAGATAATTATTAGATTGTAAAATCCTGGAGTCAGGAATTATCTTTTAAACACTGTATTGCACTATACACTGTAAATTTAGTGCAGTCAAACTTAAAAATGTTCACTGAGAAATTTATAATCCAGCCACTATAAGGCCACTATAAGATTTTTTTTTTTTAACCAGATTATCTGGTTTGGCTACTTCAGGGATCATAACTGGAGAACAACCAAACCTCCACTCATTTTGCACTTCTACTCCAGGTCAGTCAGCTATGTATTTACAATAATCTTGAGAACTGTGGAATGTGAGCTATTACTTCAGTAAACTTTTTTGATTAGCATCTATCTAGTCCATTTTTATTTCATTGTATATTTTTTTAATTTGTTCATAAGAAGGCTGTAGTCACTCTCATGTGTACTTAATATTACATTTCTCTTTAAAAAAATTCAGGCTGAGGTTTTGTGATAGTAAATTATGGGGGCTTTATTAAGAGTTTTCTACAAGCTACTCTGAATATACAGAGCATGTTCTGAAATGGGGAGAAGGGACTGTGGCTTGCTCAGCAAAGGCTCCACTTCTGGGAGTCTGGAGGTGGATTTTGGCTGCTCTCATGCAGGAGGGTGATTGAAAGGCCAATGTACAGCTGTATTTGAACAGAGGCGGAAAACCCCACCCCTTTATGCTGGCTCAGGCCAGGTGGGTGCTCAGCAGGCGCTGCCTGTCTGATCTCTAATAGCTGAGCAGCTTTTGTGGATTTGCCAAATTTCTGAACTCTGTGTGCCGCCATTAAAATTCTAAATTATTTATCTAATCTACCATTCAACAAATTCATTTTTAAATGCTTGGACTGAAGAAAAATTACGGGGGGAACTTACAATTCAAATCAGAAAACTATATTCTGAAATTCAAATTTCTTTGTTCTGTTTGAATGTGAGCAAGTTTAGGGGAACGAGAAAGTGTATGCTACTTAAAACTTTTGGGGGGACTTTGAAAATATTTTTATTTTCTCAAGCTAGCTTGAGGAAAAAATAATTGAGCTTCTTCTATTTAGTTAATATGGTCATTTATGACCTATATGATTCCCAGTTCTTTCCTTGCTTTGACATTTTGGTTTTAAATTCTTTATTCTCTTTAGATGATTTGTTGCACTCAATCCAATTAGAAACTCCTGCCTCTCCCCAGAAGATGCTTTGAAAAATCTTAATTATTTCTTTATATATTATTTATTTATTGAGCAAATCCACTTTCGTGGCTAAATGACTAATCTACACAGAGATGAAAGTCTTTGTAGAGCTGAAGATGTTCTGATAATACCAAATGTAGCAAGTTGCACAGTGTGGACATAACAAGGATGCCTTTAGCATCCTTTTCTTGCTGGGATCTACATCAGTCCTCTTCTCAGAATTCATCAGTGGCTTCCTGTCTGCACCGCCCTGCCCCCAAGACTTCTTAAAACAACTTCCTCTCTACTTTTTCAGCCCCTTTGCAAATTCCCTTCCTTTTTGTGTATGCCCTTATGACCTCATTGTCTCTCATTCAAGCATCCCTTATCCTTCTTTAATACCAGACTTCTGTAGGCTGACCTTCCCAGCCCACACAGACGTGACACCCTCAAAGCACACCCTGTACCCCACCTCTCTCCTCTCTTTTGACTCTACTCTGGGAAATGTTGTTCTCGTGCTGCTCTCTGACTTATTTTCTCCTGTCTATTTGCACCTACATGGCTTGGTTAGTCTGTACTTCCCACAGAGCAAGTCTCCTCATTCATCCACTCTATGAAGCAATCAAAAGCCCAAACTTGTGTCTCCATGACTCCCTACAATAGGCTTTTTTACCTCTGCCCTACTCTGTTAGTACTACCTACCTTATTAACTCCTTTCAATCAAATCACTATCTTAATGATACCTGTAACTCATACAGGTTACCCGCTGGGTCTGTCCAGTTTTAGGTAAGCTCCATTGAATACAATAAAGAAGTGAAGGGTGGCCTTTATTTATATGTAGAAGCAGATCGATTGAATAAAAAGTATGATCTAGGATTTGTTATGGCAGGTGACAGGGCCTTTGTCTTGTATGTTCCTGTAGTATAGACAAGATACAGCATGGGCTTTAGAGGAAGGCATTATTATTTCTTGTGATTTAATGCTCTGTAACTTTGGGCAAGTTCAGCTCTCTGAGCCTCAGTTTTCTTATCTGGAAACAGGAATAATAACTGCCTCATGTTATTGTTCTAAGGCCTAAACATGATAATATATGAATGTAAGTACTTACCATGGCTCCCGGCATATGGTAAGTAGACAATGCCAGTCAGCTCCATCTCTCTTTGTACAGTAAATGCTCAATAGATGTTGAAAGGATAGTGTGGACTCAAGACTTGGTGACAAGATTATGTCAAAATCCCAGTTACTAGTTTAAGATGGTTGAGTATTACTGAGTA